ATATATATATATATATATGCCTTTCCATAACTACTGCTCTAAAGTATCTTGGTCCTTCAGCTGAGTTATTTGCCTTACAGGAGAGACCTGTGTAGGAAATGGTGTGCAGACCGTAAAATGGAGAATAATTCTGGTTTAATTGTGTTACTGGCTGTAGTGTCCTGTTGCTCTTCTGTCCCTAATGTAAAATGTTGGGAAAATGATACTCTGGGGTGTTTTCTCCAACTATCTTTATTGGCTCCAGCTGAGCAGATAGCTTTAGGTGTCATTATATACCAATGACTGCCAAATAGCTAGCCAAGACATCTGCTGTGAGCCCCACTTAGCCTAAGGTAAAATTACTCTTATAACTGTGTCTTCAGCCTGCGTTTTATTCAGAAATAATATTGTTTTACTTTCTACTTAAGTTTCATTGAGTTTGAGAATATATTGCATTTACTTTCCAATCTGCAAACTTTTTTATAATGCATTTTAAGAGCCAGAATGTAGTTTCTGTTTGTGATTCTCCTGTGCAAGTTTGAGGAGAGGTACTGTAAATATTAGAGGGATTATTGTACGAATGCCATTTATATCAGGCTGACTGTGCAGGATAGCCTGCTAGTTCCTTACTAGTCATGCCTGCTGGTGTTTACAGGAAGACATTGACATCTCCATCTATAGCTGTGGAATTCCCTTTTCTTCCCTCTAGTTCTGTCTGGGTTTGCCTTGCCTTTTTTTTTTTTTTTTTTGGCCTGATTGTTTTTGGGTTTTGATTATAGTGATAGAACCTAGGGTTTAGCACATGCTAACCAATAGCTGAACTACATCCTCCTAATCCCAGATACCTAATGTATTTTGCTATTTGTTGTTTGGTGCATATGGATTTAGGATTGTTATATCTTTGAGAATTGATTCTCATTATGTAGTGACTCTATACAGGACCTGATAGTTTCCTTGTTTTGAAGTTTATTTTGTTGGAGATTTAATATAGTTTCTCCATCGTTTTTGTTGTTATGTTAATCCCACTGATTGAGAATAAGACTACCACCACAATTTAAAGCCAAATTTGAAGCAAGCTTTTATTAAATACTGGCCAGGTGGATGGGCTCTGACCAGCTCCATATCCAGGGTTCCTGGAAAATGGCCTCTGGATCAAGTTTTGCAAGGGTTTTTAAAAAGGAAAACCCATAATTCATTGCATTTTCCATCAGGTCCAATCGGGCAAGTATACATCCTGACGTATTTACTGCCTGTGAACCACCCGCTCGCTCACGTGTGATCAGGCACATCCAGTGCAGGTGGATCAAACAACCTTGTTTAGAGGAGTGAAACCTGTGGCTTGTTATCTCTCATAAACAACAGCTTCCAGCATTTCAGGAACTGTCTGTCTGTCTATCTTGGACAAACTGCTTCCAGATCAGAGACATTTTTGTTTCATGAATCTCTTAGGCATAGTAATTAACTTTAATGCTACAGTTACTGTTTTTGTTTTGCTTTTTATCTTTATGTACAAGGTACATCTCTCTTCATCTTTTCATTTGTGTCTTTATATATGAAATGTGTTGTCTTGTTTTACTTAATAATCTTTGTATTTTCATTGGTGTATGCAGGCTGGTTATTCATATTTATGTGGTTATCAATAACAAGGTTAATATCACACTTTTGTGTAACTTCTGTGTTAATTGCCAGAGGTTTTTCTTTCTGGTTTTAGTGGAGATATTTATGTGATTTCTTTTGCTGCATATCAAATATATATCTTCTTAAAATGCTTTCAGTTGTTGCCTTAGTGCTACAATTTACATTTTAATACTTTAAGGCCACCTAGAAATGATACATAATTGTTAGTGACATGCACATTACAAAAAAAGGAGAAAAAGAAAAACTTTTAAAATTACACTTCATTAGAATTGTGGTCTGTTTACCCTGTTAGGTCATCCCTGCCTAATCTAGTTCTATCCAACACTACTTAAAAAGCAGTTTTCTACCCATTTCCCCTTCACTTTATTCCCTGGAAGCCAACAGTCTGAAGAACATAAGATATATGTTGTGCTCAGCTCTTTTCACTAAACTGTAGTAACTGCCCATCACCTCTGAATGGGCAGAAGGTCACAGAATAGGATTTCTCCTCTCAGTCCTCTCCACCCCAGTTCTCTCTTACTGGTTGGTAAAGAGCATGGCCATTGTTTCAGGCAGGAAAATCTGGACTTGCCTCTTAGCATAAGTTTCCCAAGACTGCAGTACAAGCTTCCCTAAATGTAGTAATATAACAGAAACAGTTCTCCACAGCTCTGAAGGCCAAGCATGTGAATAAAATTGAGGTGCTGTAGGGATGTGGGGGTCCCCTCTGTGTGCTGTGATTACCATTAATGAATAAAGAAACTGCCTTGGCCTGTTGATAGGGCAGAACTTAGGTAGGCAGGGGAAAACGACTGAATGCTGGGAGAAGGAAGGCAGAGGGAGACGCCGTGGAGCCACCAGATATAGACGTGCTGAAACTTTGCTGATAGGCCACAACCTTGTGGTGATACACAAATTAATGGAGATGGGTTAAATTAAGATGTAAGAGTTAGCCACTAAGAAGTTAGAGCTAATGGGCCAATCAGTGTTTTAAATAATATAGTTTCTGTGTGATTATTTCAGGGCCAAGCTAGTTGGGCGGCTGGGACAAACAAGCAGCTCTCCACTGCCCTGCAGCACTGCAGGGTCTTAGGGAAGCCTCTTCTTAGCTTCCCTACTTACTTGCAGCTGTTTCTCTCCAAGCTCGCTTCTGTTGTCTCATAGTCTTTGGTGAACTCTAGGCAAGGATGGATGTGACTCTGTGCAATATTCCCCATGTCCTGTGTTTACTTAGTGTTCCTCATAGAAGAAATGTTACAGCCGGGCGGTGGTGGTGCACACCTTTAATCCCAGCAGAGGCAGAGGCAGGCGGATCTCTGAGTTCGAGGCCAGCCTGGTCTACAAGAGCTAGTTCCAGGACAAGAACCAAAAAAGCTACAGAGAAACCCTGTCTCGAAAATCCAAAAAAAGAAAAAAAGAAGAAGAAGAAGAAATGGTACATAAAAACTAAATGTGGTATCACACACCTGTAATCTCAGTCTTGAGAGTCTGAGGGATAAGAATTATGAGTTCAAGGAAGAAGAGGCTCTGAGTTTTTGAGGAATTATAATCAGGCTTTCTTCCGAGTCAGTGCATTCCACCTTCTTTTATTATCTTCACTCCATGTGCCAGGACTCTTCTGGCCCTGATCATACAACAGTAAAGTTAGATGTGGCCTCTGAGATCTCAGAGTCAGAACATGGAATGGGCTGGTGATGAATCACAGTGGAAAGGCAAGTGAATTCTGTCACCCAAGACAAGGTTCCTTAACAGGACTTTCCCTTCAAAAGTATCACTTCTTTAAAGCAATATCTCCCGATTTTTGAAGAGTTAAGGCTGCCTTCTTTTTTGACTATGATAAGATTGGGGGCAGGGGGGGGCTTTTTGCTTTCTTTTTTTAATGTTTAAGTCTTATTTATCATCATTGTCTTCATAAAGGGCTTTTAATTCTAAAAAAATAGTAAAGATAAGATCTAGAGTGAAACTAATTGATGAAAAAATAATTTCTGAAAAAGGCATTGTTTATCGTACTTCACCATGGAACATGTACGTTAGTTACTTTGCTTGTTGTTTTGACAAAATGACAAAGTAAATTTACAAAAAGAGGGGCTTTTATTTTGGTTCAGATTTAGGATACAGTCATGTACTCTAAAAATTATGGCAGCAGAAACATAAGGTAGCTGGTCACATTGCATCCATGATAAGACAGCAGAACGATTGATTGCTGGTTCTCAGCCCGTTTTTCTCCTTTGTATTCTATTCAGTTCAGGGTCCCAGTTCATGGAATGGTACCACTCACATTCAGTGTGGGTCTTCCCTCCATAGTCAAATCTTTCTGGAAAGACTCCCATAGACATATATAGAGGTGTGATTCCACACTGATTCTAACTCCAGTCAGGTTGGCAGTGAAGATTAGCCATCACAATATATCTTAGACCAGCATTGATTCCAGTGATCACCTCCTGGAGCACTGCCTGCATGTGCAAATGCAAGTGCACAGATCTGAAGACACACCACACAAAGGGGCTTCCACGTTGTATCTTGTAGATTGTAACAGATCAGCAGACAGGACAGAAGATCCAGATAGTCACCGCAGTGGACGCCTCTGGATCTTCCAAACAGCAGTTCATCCTGACCAGCCCAGATGGAGCTGGAACTGGGAAGGTGATCCTGGCGTCTCCAGAGACATCCAGTGCCAAGCAGCTCATATTCACCACCTCGGACAACCTTGTCCCTGGCAGGATCCAGGTAAGGCCTGTTGATTGGTGGCTGTTTATGTACTTGATACTTGAACTGCTTCTCAGCTCCGTTTTGCCCTCCCTTGGAGGCCATATCCACCCTAGGAGGGCCTTTGGGGATTTACAAGCATGGCAGGATTGCTGCTTAAGATAACTAAAGTAAAAACCAGTAAATTGAATGGCTACACCCAGAAGGCAGTCAGCAATAACAATAATAAGGAATAGAAGCTAAGCCAAGGAAAAGTGGCTGGCATAGGCAAGGTGATAGTGAGGACCACTGGAGAATTGATCTTGAAAGACCACATGGTGAAACCATACACACACACATTTCTATGTGTGCGTACATATATATTCCTTTTGTGCTCTAACCTACCTGTTTTTTTTTTTATTGAGCGCTACATTTTTCTCCCCTCTCCCCTCCCCCCTGCCCTGCCCTGCCTCTCCCCTCCCCCCCGCCCTGCCTCTCCCCTCCACTTCAAACCTCTCCCAAGGTCCCCATGCTCCCAATTTACTCAGGAGATCTTGTCTTTTTCTACTTTCCATTAGCTTATATTTTTAAGACACCCTCTAGAGCTGACCATCTTCTGCTCTTTCTTACTAATAGGCTTTCCTCCTGATAATAGGTTTCTCCACCAATGTAATAAGCCAGATTAAGCCAAATTGAAAAAGTATAACAGGTTTATTTGAGCAAAGCAACCCCCAGATGAGTTCTCCAGTCCCAGAGAATATTTTCAAGAACTACTCTGTACTGACTATGTCCAGCTTTCTCCTATTTATCTCTACTCTGGGAGGGAGAAGCAAGATGGGTTTGGGGCAGCCACAAAAATATGAGCAGACACTGAAGGAAAGCAGGTTCAATGTTCAGTGTGAATTTGGAGGCTTGATGCCAACATTCCAGAGTGACCATGCATGGAGCATGTTTTGACATAGTCAAGAGGAAATCGGTATTAATCTGTTTTTGGTTTTTAAATTTAGTTTGATTTTTTTGAAACAGGAGCTCACTATGTATACCAGGCTGGCCTTCAACTCACAAGAGTTCTGCCTGCCTCTGCCTTTTGAGTGTGTGATTAAAGGTGCGTGCCACTACGCCCAGCTTAGTTTTTTGTTTTTCAAAAATTTTGGTAAGTTGTACATAATACAAAATTTACCATCTTAGCCATTATTGTACTACCACCTGTAACTCTTTTCATCTTCCCACACTAAAACTCTGTACCTGTTGGGGCTCTCACACATAAACCACAGTGAAGAGATTTGAGGATTTAGAGTTCTGTTCCTCTTCCCTCAAGTCCCTTCCTCTGGCATGTCCCCTGCCTCCACTACAGCCCAAATGTGAGTGTCTTTGTAGGATATGTTCAGGCGAAAGTTTTTCACAAGTTTAGGTTCCTGCAGAAGCCAGAGAGGTGTTGGCTCCCTCTACAGTGGTTGTGAAGGGCCTGAACTTGAATGCTGGGGACTGAATTTAAGTCCTTCACAAGAGTACTCACTCCTAACTGCCTTTCAGACTCTTTGTTTAGATTTTTTTTTGATATTTTTATATTTATGAGAGTTAGCAGGCATTATGTCTCATTCTCCCTCCCCCAAAGTATGTTTTGATCCTTTGATATTAAACTATCTGGCTTATTTTAAAAGCACAAGTTTGTGAAAGACGGCTGCTGATGTCACATTTCATAGGTGGTTTTACTTGATATCTGTATCTGGTTCACCCTATGAGATTCATTTGAAGGTTTATTGTGTGCTCAAATTAAGTACATTTTTAAAACAACTGTTGTTTAAACTTTCTCAAGTTGGTATCAGTTATGTTTTCTCTTAGATAGAACGGGTTATCATCTAGAGAATTACCTGTGAGAGGAAATAGCAGGCTTCTGCTGTCATCTGTACAAGTCCATCTATCACCAGTGCCTCAACAAGAGCTATAGTCAGTAAAGCCTGGGTATAGCTCCGGAGACATCAGGTTCATATTTATATTTTGTGTGATGGAATGAGAAGCATAGCTGACGAACTTTATCTGTCTTTACCTCAGAGAATCCATATGTGTTCCCCATGTGGCTTTCAGTTTTAGTGATATTCACAAGATAGGAGAGCAGTCACTGACATGTGCAGGCCAGTGGGGAAGCAGAATTACCTGGCTATTGAATGGATCTGTCAGAGTATTCCCAGTAATGCCCAGAGAGTTCTTTGGTTTAGATACCCAAGACTGGGAATACACAAGTAGATATTACTTTACTTAGTTATCTAGATTTTAATTGACAGTGTTTGTTTGCTGACATCTTAGATCGTCACGGATTCTGCTTCTGTGGAGCGTTTACTGGGGAAGGCAGACGTCCAGCGGCCCCAGGTGGTGGAGTACTGTGTGGTCTGTGGTGACAAAGCCTCTGGTATGTGACTCTGGCTTCTGGCTCCTATCATGGAGCAACAGCATGACCTTTTATAGGGTAGGGAAGTGGGTAGTTGAGAAAGAATGTTATATGTAGGTTTAAAATATGAACCTCATATAATAAGCAAAGTAGTATGTCAGATTATTCAATCTGATAGGAAAAGTCAAGAAACTGATTTGTTTCCAAATATTTATATGCTATTAAGAAAGTAAAACTTTCTTTCATCTTGTTTGTATCTTCCAAGGTGTATTATGTATATAATTCCCCTCACCCAAACTATCTTACTTATTATCTTTTTACTGCACCCTCTGTGTAAGCTTCTGTAATGGAGGAGTAGGGACCACACAGTTCCCTTTGGAAAAGTATACACATGTGCCTGTATGCTGAGTAAAGACCCAAGCCTATTGTTTGGTGTGTGTCTGTCTGTGTGCACACGTGTGCTGCGTGCAGTGAAGACCCAAGGCCTGTAGAGAGTCATTTACGTCTGTGCTTTTGGTGTCCTCAAGGAGAGCTCAAAGGCTTCCACATTTAGTATTCTGGTGAAGGGAGACAGAGGCTTGCTAGCACTGGAGAGCTACAGAAGGTAAGTGAGGCAGTAAGGCAGGCAGTGGGAAATGAAAGGCTCAACTCAGGGAAGCTGAGTTCTGAGGCAGCTTTATTCCACTCACAGAAGTCTGTGGAAGTTTTGTTGTCTTGGATTACATTTTGTCTTTTTGAAGGGAGGAGGGGGCTAGACCTTGGAAGAATCTCCATTTTGAAAGGGAGGGCTAGACCTAGGAAGAATCTCCATAAGCTCTAGTTTTCTCCCTCTAAGCTGGTTGTGCCATTTCTCTGCCTTTGGTGCCTGCCTCTGATCCTACCCTTTCTTTGTCTTAGTAAAGCTAGTCTATCCTACCACTTAAAATCCCATCTTCCCTTGGAAGCAGGTAGATAGTGCTGCCACTGATCCCAATTGCTTTTCTCCAGTCCATCTTTGGCATCTGTTACATTCTCTAAAACTGTACTCAGTAAATGAGAGTATAGAAGTAAGCTGTGGTTTATAACTGTGTTTCTCGAAGGGCCTGAGTAATTCACCCAGGGGCATGCTTGGGGATAAGGACATGACTCAGAGATCAAGTAAGAATGAAGGAATATATAGGCCATTTACTCTGTAAGTAAGGGTGGGCATCAAACAACTTCTATTGCCAAAATGTGTGCACTGGAGCAATGTCAACTGAGCTGCTCTGTGTGTTGGATAGTCATGTCATGTATGAGCTTTGGATTTTCATTGTGCTATGACAGTGTTGACATATTGTTGGGCTGCCATTAACCCCTATGGTGGCAGCTTCTGACTGGGTGCACTCCAAGTGGGAATAGGGCTGAGCAGCTCATCTCTGTTCATGATGAACTAACTAGACCATGTGCTCACTCATTTCTCTTCAGGCCGTCACTATGGGGCTGTCAGTTGTGAAGGTTGCAAAGGTTTCTTCAAAAGGAGCGTGAGAAAGAATCTGACCTACAGCTGCCGAAGCAGCCAGGACTGTATTATCAACAAGCATCACCGAAACCGCTGCCAGTTCTGCAGGCTGAAGAAGTGCCTGGAGATGGGCATGAAAATGGAATGTGAGTAGCAGGGCCCCACCATGCTTCTTGCTAAGTGAGGTGTTTACATTTGACTGTAAATGAAAGGGGAAAATAGTTTCACTATGCTTTACCTTCTGGGGTGTTGTGTGGAGCTGCGGGCCGCTTCCCTGCCGCCCCAGCTCCCGGCCGCCAGCTAGCTCTAGCTTATGCCCCGAAATAATTACACGGAAACTGTATTCTTTTAAACACTGCTTGGCCCATTATATCTAGCCTCTTCTCGGCTAACTCTCGCACCTGGACTAGCCCATTTCTAATAATGTGTGTAGCCCACAAGGTGGCTTACCAGAGAAGATCTTAACCTGCGTCTGTCTGGAGTGGGAGAATCATGGCGACTCCCTGACTCAACTTCTTTCACCCAGCATTCTGTTCTGTTTACTCCGCCTACCTAATTTTATGTCCTATTAAAGGGCCAAGGCAGTTTCTTTATTTAACCAATGAAACAACAGATAGAAAGATGACCCTCCTCCATCACTGGGGCAGCCACCTGATCCAGAGCTGACGCTGTTGGGTTTGATCAGTTTTCATGGTATGTATGAAGCTCCTTTTCTAGATGAATCAGAAAACAGGCCAAGAGGAATGGAGGGTGGGTAATGCCAGCTTCAGAATAAAGTTGAGACCAAGTCATTCTAGCCCTGCTACCAAAGAGCCCACATGGTGCCTCTCTCAATCCCTGGGCCTCATCTGTGACTACATTTCATTGCTATAGCCGTCACATTCTAAAGAAGGTCCCCAAGCAGGAGCAGCCACAGAAGAACTGAAACCCTCCTCTTAGCTCTTACAGCCATACTTTTGAGGGGTCAGATATTCCCAAACCAGTCCCTCATCCACAAGGACCAATCATCAGGTCAGTTCTTGATGACGGAATCATAAGAACCAGATACCAAAGTAGCAACACAAGTCAAGGAGAGCAGAGTTGTGTTCTTAAGAGTACAGCAGGGATGGAGAGGAACAGAGTAAAGGCCCACACCACGCTAACAGTGCTGCATGATTCCTGGGAAAATTAGAGATAATAGATTTCAGTATTGTTTCCCATTCTAGGAATGGGACAATGCAAAAACCCACTGGGGAACAAGAACTATGTTCATAACCTGTTTTAGTACAGTTAGTACAATACATACATGCCTAACTTAGGGTAGGGTTGCCCTGTCATATTTTCAGGCTGTACTTATTTGTAAGCAGTGATGGGGCTAAACTGGAACAATCATAGGCAAAGTTGCAAATTCAAAGTCCAACTGCATTTCAGCTTAGTAGTAGGGCATCTTGATCCAAGGCTTCACTGCTTTCTTTTAAGAATAGTTTGTGGGATGGGGAGATAACTCAATATATAAAGTGCCTGCTGCACTAGAAAGAGGTTGTGAATTCTGATCTCCAACAATCATGTAAAAAGCTGGGTGTTGTTACTCATGCTTGTAATTCCTAGGAAACAGGTAGATCACCAAAGCTTGCTGACCAGCCATTCTATCCAATCAGTGATTTCCATGATCACTGAGAGACGCTGAAAGCAATAGTAGAAAACTCTCAATGTACATACATGTTCTGTACACCCTACCCCATCACCAAGATCTGCTTTTTAGTTGCTTGTAACAAACATACCTATCATTTTCTAAAGTTATTTTTGTTTTAGACGTGTGTGTGTGTGTGTGTGTGTGTGTGTGTGTGTGTATGCATGTATGTATGTATGTATATCTATGTGTGTTACCTACAGGTACTCACAGAGGACTTGGATCTCCTTAGAACTGGAATTATAGGCAGTTGTGAGAGCTGTCTGATGTGAGTGCTGGGAATTGAACTCTGGTCCTCTTCACAAGCAGTATGTTCTTAACTGCTAAGCCTTCTCTAGCTCCTGTATACCCATTCTTACAATAGGCTGCTGGAAGAGAAATTGCTGCATACAATTAACACCCTTTGGTTTTCTGAAACTCTTTAGGCTGGAATTGGACTCTGGAAAGGTTGCTCTGCCATTTGTGTCATGGGATAATCTCTATGAAGGGTCCACTTGAAGATAGGTATTTATCCTGGGCTGAGCCCAACTGGTTAGTGACAGAAGTAAAAAAACCCAATGGACCGCCGGGCGGTGGTGGCGCACGCCTTTAATCCCAGCACTTGGAAGGCAGAGGCAGGCGGATCTTTGTGAGTTCGAGACCAGCTTGGTCTACAAGAGCTAGTTCCAGAACAGGCTCCAAAACCACAGAGAAACCCTGTCTTGAAAAAAAAAACAAAAACAAAAAACAAACAAACAAACAAAAAAACCCAATGGACTATGTTGGTCTTCTCAGGTCACAGCAGAGTGGCAGTTTCTAAGCAGGTAGCTCCTGCCATCTCGAGCCATCTATATACATTTAGGTTTGTATTGCAAGGAGTTATTTGATTTTTACTTTCCTTTCCATTGTTTGGAAAGCCCATGGTGACCAAACACTAGAGTTACAGATTTGCTAACAGACCACTTTATGTTAAGGTGCTTATTCATTTTACTCCTTTTTTAAAACGTGACTGTATGTTTTAATTTAAGCTGTGCAAAGTGAACGAAAGCCCTTTGATGTGCAACGGGAGAAACCAAGCAATTGTGCTGCTTCGACTGAGAAGATCTATATCCGGAAAGACCTGAGAAGTCCTCTGATAGCCACTCCCACGTTTGTGGCAGACAAAGATGGAGCAAGGTCAGTCAAACTGGCTAGAGGAAGTGCAGATATCCCTGGAAAGGACACAAACACGGCTGTCACCTGCCTGACACAGCCCTGGCATCCCTTTGAGTTCACTTAGTATTGCTAGGTGTCACTCCAGGGCACAGTTGATCCTACAGTTTAGGCTTCATTCCTGTAGGAAAAAATAGCTGTCTGTAACACAAAGTACAGGCCTATTATTATTATTATTAATATTTTTACAATATATACAAAAGGCCCAAAGTGAAGAAAGGCCCAGATAATGCCACAAACTAGCTTGTACATTCTTTTTAACATACTGTTGAACTGGTTTTAAAGAGAACAGAAATAAGGAAAACCAGAAATCAAAAATGTATTACACAAAAAGCTAAATTTAAGGGTCTCTGAACAATTCTTTGAATTTTAACTTTGGGGAGAATGGCCACAATTAGTGTAGAAGGCCCAGGGATATGCATATGTTCTGTCCTCCCTCAGCCTGTAACCTGCCTTGTGAGACACTCATCAGCAAGAGCAGAGAGCTGGCCACTCTTGAGTATTAGAGCTTTTCTCTTAGCAGACAGCCTTGCAGATTAAGTCAGGTGAATGCAGCATGAACATACTGTGCAGAAAATGTTAGAAGCTACTCTGAGTTTCTTTATGTCTTAAATAGACAGACAGGTCTTCTTGATCCAGGGATGCTTGTGAATATCCAGCAGCCTTTGATACGTGAGGATGGCACAGTTCTCCTAGCCACGGATTCCAAGGTAATGCTCTCTCCTCCTGTGTGCTGTAGGCTGCTTTTCCAACTACACCTGCCCTCTTGACCATTACAGATGATGCTGAAAGCATAGTGTCCTATAGCTGTTAGCTTCTCATGATATAGCCATTCTAGGATTGTTCTAAAGATGCTGCTGGCTTTTCAGACACCCCAGTCAGGGTTGACTGGCCACAGTCACATTCAAAGGTTTTATTCCCTATTAATTTTTCCCCTTTTTATACTGTACTTTTTATATATACTGGTAGGCTACCAGCATGCTAAGAAAATACCTACTTTTTCTAAGGCAGCCTTTTGCAGAAGCTCCAATCCCTTTCCATTCAATAATCTGCAATAGGCTGACAAATGAGCCAGAGAGAATGAACTTGTAGATAGAGATTCTGTTGGTCCAAGAGGTCACTCACATTGTTGTGACCTGTATTCTGTGGTCCTATCATAATTTACTAAGCAGCTTTATACTTAAGACTTTTCTATTGATTTTAGTTTTTCATTTCTATTACCAAAACACAGGTTTATTTGTACACAACACAAAAGAAAAAGCAAAACCTCACATGTACAGATGATAGATGCATGTGCATATATTTCATGGTTTATTTTTGGCTTGCTTTTTATAATTATAAATTAAATATAATTCATAGTCCATCACCCTTGCAGTGTATAAATTTGTGGTATTTTAGTATATTTTCATGATTCTGGACTCAACCACCACCAATTCCAGAATACCCTCATCTTCCTAAAAGAAACTTATCAAGCAGGCCAACCACTAACCTAGATTTTGGGTCCTTGTTTGTAACAATTATTTAATAATACATTCCACATGAAGGGAATCATGTAAGTATGGTTCCTTCACAACTTGTTTTTCATTAGTATATTATCTTTAAGGTTCATCCATGACATAGTTCATTCATTCCTTTCATTGCCAAAAAAGCATGCCACTGCCAGGCTGCCTCATGCTGTGTATCTGTTCATCACATGATTAGTATTTGGATTGTCTGTGTTTGAAGAGTAGACTTGCTGGCAATGAGCAACTTTTAAATTTAAACTTTTGAGGACTGTTTATGAATGTGACTACACCAATTTGTAGACCCATCAACCATATGTTCTTTCTCCACATCTGGGAAAACATGTTTCTTTCTTGGATTAGGATCCAATTTATGTGAAGCGTCACTGAGGTTTTGTTTTGTATTTCAAGTAAAGTTGAACACACTTATTGGCCATCTGTACAACTTCTTTAGAGAAGCGTCTTAAAATCCTTGTCCCTTTTAAAATTATGTTTTTGTTGATTTGTCTTTCAAATGAGGTTGAACAGTTATTAGTCATCTGTACATCTTCATTGGAGAAGTGTCTTCATATCTTTAGATCCCTTTTAAAATTAGGTTGTTTTTGTATTGTGTTATTGAAATCTTTCAGTATTCTCACTATTACCAGACATGTGACTTGAAGATATTTCCTCCATTCTTCTGGAATGTTTCTTTACTACTTTCTTAATATTTCTAAAGCACAAAAGTTGTGACTAGAGAAGTCTACTTTATCTGGGGTTTTTGTTGTGTTTATCATTTTATCACTGTATCACTGCATCACACGTGTGGATTTGTGTGTGTGTCTGTGACCGCAATCAAGATACAAAAAAACAAAACAAAACCTGATCCATTCTGATCCAGTGGATGGACAGAAAGATCTCCCTGGTGTGATTCTTTCACACCTTCTAGACCCTGGCCTTGAATAAACATGATATCTTCTTCACTTCATTGTCCTTAAGTCATTCAAATGTGTGTGTTAGTTTTTTAATGTTACTATTTATTTTTTATATTACTATTACTTATTTTATAGGCTGAAACAAGCCAAGGAGCTCTGGGCACGCTGGCAAATGTAGTGACCTCTCTGGCCAACCTGAGTGAATCTTTGAACAATGGTGACACTTCCGAAATGCAGCCTGAGGACCAATCTGCAAGTGAGATTACTCGGTATGAGCCCCTCTGATACCCCGTATTCCCCAGTGTTTTAAGGATGGATGCCAGCATTTGGCACTTATATTAAATATGTTTTTGTTTTTTGATGTTGCAAATGATGCCTCCTACGTACAAGACAAGTGCTGTGCCACTGAATTACATACTTCAAAAGTACCCCAGTTGTGTAATTAAGAACTATAAAGTTGTCATAACAACCCCACACATTGCTGGTCTTATACGTTTAACTGTGAGCACCCACACTGGAAGAGGACCTGCTTATATCATGTGACATAAGGCAATCAGAACTGTTATTCATTCCTGACACCAGGGCCTTCATCAGACAAATGTTCTTTGTCTTGAGCACTGTGTAATGAATGCACCTGCAGCAAACAGTGTATCTCTTTCCTCTTTCTGTTTCCATTTGCTTGCACCTGCTTTCTGAATGCTAGTTGATGGATAGCACCAGCTGATTCCAGTTGGCATTGGCTGGCTGCTCAGGGTATTTCTTTCCTGTAGGTTGCTCTTCCGTTCTAGCCTTGGTGTCAAGCCAGATAAGGTACATGCTGGGAGCCATACAAGTCCTCTGCTTGGTCCTCCTGTTAATTTGCAATCTGACAGCAATATTCAGATCTAGGCATAGGGGAAAGAACATGAGATCTCAATTATAAAGAATTCTGGTTACCTTGGGAGTGGTATTGGAAAAGGTAACATCTATGAACCTCAGCACTCACATCTATAAAGTGTAGATAATTTAGGAGTATTTAGTATAATAATCTTAGGGTATTTATGAGAAATAAAATTATATGTGAAGATAGAAAGTACATAGCTCAGTGCCTAAATATATGATGAAGAAGATCTTCACTGCCTTCTGAGTGGAACTGGATTGTCTCCATTTGTTGCTTCTTTGGAGCTCTCTTACTGACTTGCCATGGGTTTCTGCTTTGTTTTTGTTCACAGGGCATTTGACACCTTAGCTAAAGCACTGAATACCACAGATAGTGCTTCACCTCCAAGCCTGGCAGATGGGATAGATGCTAGTGGAGGAGGGAGCATCCATGTCATTAGTAGAGACCAGTCAACACCCATTATTGAAGTTGAAGGCCCTCTCCTTTCAGACACACACGTTACATTTAAGGTGAGTACACAAAATTAACAGGTGCCACCTGCCTCCCCAGTATGCTGGAGTCAGGTACCTTGCTATGAGCCCATTTTCTTTATTTTTGGTTCCCCCCCCCCCCAAGGAAAGGTTTTACAGCTCAACTTTTTTTTTTAAAAAATATTTATTTATTTATTTATTATGTATATAATATTTTGTGTGTGTGTCTGCAGGCCAGAAGAGGGCACCAGACCTCATTACAGAGGGTTGTGAGCCACCATGTGGTTGCTGGGAATTGAACTCATGACCTTTGGAAGAGCAGGCAATGCTCTTAACCACTGAGCCATCTCTCCAGCCCCACAGCTCAACTTTTTTAGACTGACCTTGAACTCAGAGGTCTGCCTGCCTCTGCTTCCTGAGTGTTGGGATTAAAGGTGTGTGCCACTACCACCTAGCATGAGCTTGTTTTTTAGTTGTGGCAGAATCTTGAATTTCAAAGTATTCCTGTTCCTTCTTTATAAAACTGTTTCATACTGCCATTGATTCTGAAGTGACCCTCCAATAAGTGTGGCACATCACTGCCAAAATAGACTGCCATAGTAGTAGCCGCTAAGGATCAAAGACTGGCTGCTCTGCCTCTTCCTTCCTGTGACAGCCTGACTCCAACATAAGCTCAGGTGGGCACCTTGTTGCCTCTCTACTATGTAGAGAAGTCATCAAATAAACTCGTTAGCAAGTAGGCAGCTAGACTTTGATCTGAAGCATAGTGCCCACTAGAGCCATAGCCACCTCACCATCTTTGAAGAATATTAGTAGGTCCTCAGTCTTTCCCATGCACTTTCTGTGTCTGCCTAACTGACAGGGCATCAGCAGGCTTTCCAGTCTGTAGTCTCCAGAATGAGTCTTGTCTCAGTGCTCTGTACTGGAGAGATTAGTCAGTCACTTGAGTAGATAGGGTCTCTGACTATAGCTGCCTAAGGCTTACTTCTCAGGTTGCTTTCCAGAGTACTAGAGATCCCTTGTGAACATCAGAGCATCTGGAACCCTGGCAGGCTGTTCTTCCAATGAGATGTTATCTTCCCATATGGACTTTTGCCCAGCACCTTTTCATTATCTTGAAGTCACCTTTAAAAACACTTGTCAGTGGATTCAGACAAGTAATAATATAGTTGCGGGTGAGAGCTGTTGAAGGTATCTTTGATGAGTGAGCTGGAAAGTGTCCTCTGAACCTGCAAGACTCAAGTCACTGAGCAAGAAACCATAGAAGCTGGTGACAGCCATGGCTACAAGGCTCCATGGACACATACTTCACTAATGACATGTCTTTGGAAGTTCTTTGAGATCTGAGACAGCTACTTTGACTGTTACCTTTGTTGACATAGGAAAGGGATATGTTGACGGTGGCACTTGCCCCTCTTTTAGCTTGTGACACAGTGCTTCCTATTTTCCAGCTTACGATGCCCAGCCCTATGCCAGAGTACCTCAATGTGCATTACATCTGCGAGTCTGCATCCCGCCTGCTTTTCCTCTCCATGCACTGGGCAAGGTCAATCCCAGCCTTCCAGGCACTTGGGTAAGTGGCCTTTTTTTTTTTGTTTGTTTTTTGAGACAAGGTTTCTCTGTGGCTTTGGAGCCTGTCCTGGAACTAGCTCTGTAGACCAGGCTGGTCTCGAACTCACAGAGATCTGCCTGCCTCTGCTTCCCGAGTGCTGGGATTAAAGGTGTGCGCCACCACTGCCCGGCTTCCTGGGGTGTTCTTGAGTAGTGGCATTCTCCCTTCAAGAATAGCCAACAAGGTCTCTGAGGGCCTTTCCAGTGTGATTGTTCTGGTTTACCTTATTCAGAGACCAAAGTTTTATTAAATGTAGTCAGTAGACTGGAGGAAACAGTACTTCTTGTATGCTGTAAGGACTTATTGCTAGAAGCTGTGTCTGGCCTTTGATCGGATGAGTGTATCAGAGTACTGGTTTGTGTTCACACACCCCCTGCCAGTGTTGGCCAGCCTGTGTCATTGTTGCAGGAAGCCCATCCTGCGTACTTGTTCATGAATATCACCGTACTTGGTGATCCTGTTTCCTTGTCATTCCCAATACCAGCTCTGCTACTGTGCTAAGTAACTAATATCCAGTTGGAGCAGGCTGCCATTGTGACTTATATCTGGCTGGAACATAAGCAGTCACATGAAACTGGAATGTAGTGAATGGCTACATGCTGCAGGGTAACCAGCACAGGTTATATATGTAAGAAATATATTCTTCTGGTTGTTCATTGGTTCACAGCACTGGCCTAGGGTAAGAGATCCAAGTTGAGAATCATAATAGCATTTGGCAGTTGTAAAGTTGTAGGAAAGTCATTTAATTCATGTGAACTCTGACAATAGCCTGCTCTTGATGCCATCTGGGAGATAGTTTACATCTCAGGGTTATCAGTACTGTTAGGTAAAGATGTCCTGATGTGTGGCTAAACAGTGATGCTCCCACTTCCCTGAGTGGGCTTTCTTTTTGTTGTTGTTATTTGTTTCCATTAGAACAATATGAAACCTCCTTCGGAGTTTCTTTGCCCAGAGTAGCACATTTTAAAGAGGTTATTATAAATTCATACATGGTCAGGATAGTGATCCTAACAGAATAAAGGCTGTACTGGAGACATGGAATGGCTCCATGTAGCTAGGCTGAAGCAACTAAAAGATACATCTCTGTCTAGAAAAGCCAGTTTCTGCAGCTTTCTGGCAACTAGAGAAATAACAGGTTTTGCAGTGTGCCACCTACAGTAACTCTCATGAGTATTAACTAAAGAACTGCTTCAGTTCCAGCACTGGCTCTTTTCCCTGCCAGCACTGTTAATGGAGTTTCTGCTCTTCAGAATCTGTAGTCAATGTTTGTCATTTGATTCCAGCTTCTCATCTTTGCTGGAGGGCCTGAGTCACAAACACCATATACCCAGAGCCAAGCTAGGACTTAATTAGTATATAGAATGTTATGGGAAACCAACTTTATTGGAGAAGTAGGGGATATGGCTTTGTGGTGGTAGAATGTTTGCTTTATTTATGCAATCCCACAAAAACAAACTTTATAGGGGTTGTGTACACATGTATGTGAGTCTATGTGCATGCCTGTGTGTAGGAGAAAAGACAACCTCAGGTATTTTTCCGAGGTCCTGTATACTTTTTGAAACACAGTCTCTCATTAGCCTGATACTCCCCACATAGGCTTAGTTGTCTAGCAAGAGAGTGCTATGGATCTCTCCATCTGTTGCAACCTCCCCAGTGATAGGATTTTAAGTGTGTATCACTACTACTTCTATGCCTGGCTTAATAAATTTTAAGAAAACCTTAATATGACATGCCTTTTAAAGTTTTTAGCCAGGTATAATGGTGCGTGCCTTTAATCTCAGCACTCAGGAGACAGAGGCAGGAGGATTTAGCTAGTCTGGTCTACATAGTGAGACTATCTCATAATGTAGGTTGGCCTCAAATTGTCTATGTAGCTGAGGACAACCTTCTACTTCTGATGATCTTACCTCACTTCCTGAGTGCTGGAATGACAAGTGTACCACCCAGTTTTACTCGGCTTTCTGTGTGCCAGACAAGAATTCTACCTTGAGAGTCTGTTGAACCCTTATTATAAGTTTTTTATTTCTGGGGCTTGGGACATGGCTCAGTAAAGAACCTGTGTAGAAGTGTAAAGACCTAAGTTCAGATTCCCAGGATCCATGTAAAAGCCAGGCATAAAAGTATATGTCTGTAAAACCCAAAACTGGGCAGGTAAAGTTAAGAGATTCCCCTGGAGCTCAGAGACCAGCCTGCCTAGCCAAATCAGTAAGCATCAGATTCAGTAAGAGACCCTGTCTCAAAAATAAGGTGAAGTATGGAAGACATAAGAATAAGGTTAAGTTGAGGAAGACATCTGATGTTGACCTTTGGCCTAAATGCAAATGTACATATGCACACATATATAAAAATGTTTTTCTTTTTTAACTATGTATGTCACAGCTTGCATGTGGAGAGCAGAGGAATATTTGGGGGAATTGATTCTCTCTACCATGTGGATTGTAGGGATAGAACTCAGGTCACTAGGCTTACTGGCAAGCATCTTTATCTGTTGGGCTATCTTGCTAGCCCGAATAATTTATCATCTCTTCATTGACTTACTCAAGGACTTGGTCATCTTCCTGCGAATGACCCTGGACATATAATAGACCATTGCCATACCTTTGCTACATGGTGGATGGTGCTGAGGCTTTGAACCCATACAGCTGACATACTTAAGAGTCATCCACATGCTTCACACTCAGCCTTATCCTTATGCTCCTAGACAGGACTGCAATACCAGCCTGGTGCGGGCCTGCTGGAATGAACTTTTCACTCTTGGCCTAGCCCAGTGTGCCCAGGTCATGAGTCTCTCCACCATCCTGGCAGCCATCGTCAACCACCTGCAGAACAGCATCCAGGAAGGTAGGTCCTAGAGATATGGGAGTAGAATGTATCTTGATCCAATTTGTACCTGGATAACAAAGTTCAGCCTGTGTCAGAGCTGACCCAGCTGTTCTTAATGAATGCACAACTGTCCTCTAGTAAGAGCTGCAGTGGCCATCTAATATTTGATGGTCAAGTAGAATAGCAGCTGCGGCAGTAGAATACTCATTATGGCCCTGCAGAAGCTAGCCCATATGAACTGAGGTATGCTGTCATAAAGGAATTACACCTTGGCAACTACAGGCCGAATTAGCTGCATTACTGAAGCAAGTGTGGACAAGGCAGCTAACGTAAGTACCTTTTTTTTTTTAAAGATTTATTTACTTATTATGTATACAGCATTCTGTCTGGATGTTTTGCCAACAGGCCAGAAGAGGGAGTCAGATCTTACAGATGGTTGTGAGCCATCATGTGGTTGCTGGGAATTGAACTCAGGACCTCTGGAAGAGCAGCCTGTACTCTTAACCGCTAAGCCATCTCTCCAGCCCTAGTACCTTTTTTTAAAAAATAAAGCTTTTTATTTCGTGTGTGTGCTTGAGTATGCCTGCACCACATATGTACAGTGCCCACAGAGATCCAAAGAACGTATCAAATCTCCTAGAAATGACATTATAGATTATTGTGAACCGTTGTGTAGTGCTGGGAACTGAAACCAAGTCCTCTACATGAGCAGTGAGTACTCTTTAACTCGAACCATCTCTCCAGGCACAAGCACCTCTTACCACTTCACTTTCATCTGGAAATACAGCTCTTGACCAGCTTGAAATGACATGGTTCTCTTTAGAAAGTGAACTTAACCTTCATTTGTCTGTGTAGCTCCTTAAAAGACTGGATTTATTCTTAGCAGTTTTCCTCAGGGGATCTGTGATATTTGTTTCTAGATAAGCTTTCTGGTGACCGGATAAAGCAAGTCATGGAGCACATCTGGAAGCTGCAGGAATTCTGTAACAGCATGGCGAAACTGGATATAGACGGCTATGAGTACGCATACCTTAAAGCTATAGTTCTCTTTAGCCCCGGTAAGACATGCGGAGGGACTTGTGACACTTTGCACTGTGTCTACTGATGTTTCTGAATACGGCCATGTTGTCATCAGTTGTGTAGGAGAGCCCTTCAATGTTTTACATACCCCAGTGTGTTCATAATAAGCGCTTTGCTATCTAGCTAGCATCACTACATTTGTTAAATCCTTGCCTTTACAGCACTGAAGAAATGTGCCTGGGGATTCATGTTGTAACCAAGACATTGGCCAAATAAGACCACCATCCTGTGGTCTTTTTTGTTTGGGCTCTGCGGTTTCCAGGTTCTCTGAGCACATAAAATCCAGGCAGACTGAAACTCAGCTTTACTATCTCTGTGGATAGTAATAGCTACGAGGCCTGATTATTCCTGGTAGAAAGAAAAGATGCCTGGACTGGCTTCACATTCTTCTTCTCTATAGCTGTTCTCAAAGCCTCTGGAGAAGTCACTTGGGCTGATCATTTACCTCAACAGCAAGGGCTGAAAGTAGCATAATCTTTCTCTTCTTTCTCAGACTCCTCACTCTAAAACAAAAGTATCTATTAAGAAGGAGTTATTATGTACTTAAACATCTAGAAAGAGATGGTTCCTCACATACCTTTTAAAATTTGTGTTTCCTAGTGTAGCAAAAAGCAAGAAATGTAGAGCCAATGCAGTTAGGCTCCAAGTAGGAGTCACAACCTAGGTGTTTCTTACAGCCTTGGAAAAATAGAGGCAAAGCCAGTATTCTGACAACTTCCCAGTTCACTGAGCCAGCCTTCAGAGTTTAATTGCTTATATTTGATAAGTTTATCAAGTTAAGAATAAAAAGAAAGATTAAGATGTCTATGGCACTTTGTAAATACAAAGAGAAACTTGGGGTTACTTTTCTGTTTTCAGATCATCCAGGTTTGACGGGCACAAGCCAGATTGAGAAATTTCAGGAGAAGGCACAGATGGAGCTACAGGACTATGTTCAGAAAACCTATTCAGAAGACACATACAGGTGAAGCATGGGGCCCTGCCCAAAACAGACAGGGGTGGGTGTGGTTGGGTCAGATTCTAGCAATTTGGCAGAGCCTCCATTAGATTACTGACATCTCCAGGTGTAGAGGTAAGAGTGTGTAAGTATAAGGGAATACTAGTTGGGAAGCTTGAGACTACTGGTGATAGCCAGAAAGGGAGTGCTTTCCTGAACCTAATTCCATGAGGCTCGGTTCTCACACTTTACAGAGGTGCTCAGCACCCATGGGGAAAGGCAACACTAGAGTATTTGACAGAAATGAAATCTGGCCCCTATAAAGGAGGGGAGTGAGTTACATAAGGTAATTTTAACAATAGGGTGTGTGTATTAGCCTAATACAGATTTAGACAGTATTAATAGTTGATCTGCCAAACAACAGAATGCATGGCAAGCTTTTCCAGGTCAAATTTTTAACTCTACCTTTCCTCCAAAGTAAACAAATCAACAATCCAGAAAGACATTTAGCCTGCTTTCCCCGGTCTTGTGTCCTCTGTGTAGGCTCACTGAGCCACCAGGACTTCCTCTCCTGTCCTGTGCTTCTCAAAGGAAATGCTGTTGTACCAGTCAGTGGCTCTGGTAGGTTTTTCTATTATAGTCAAAAGAGTTTTATGCCCATCTTTTTAGCCTACATGCAAATTCCCCAAACCAACTTCCACTAGGATCACTGAAGACCTGGAGTCACATATGTAGAGAGTGACTTCAGTCTTTGGTACACAGAGAATGAGATTGTCTGCTTAAGCACCCATTCCCATAATTCCAGTCTGGCCTGGTGTGCAAGGAAATTGTTCTCTTAGCAGGCCACAGTGCTCCCATAGTTCCTGTGGTCCATAGATGTCTCATTTTGAAGCCTGAGCCTTTCTTGGCCCAGTCATGGACCAGGGAAAGAGGGTAGAGATTAAGACACCATGGGATTCAGGGCCAAAAATGAAGAAAGCTTCCCTATAGATATCAGAAACCCACTTAGGCATTTTTTCAGGGGAGGACTTTCATATGTATAGCATATTCTACTGCAATTCTTTGTCTATCTGTGTAAATATGTGGGTACATGAGCAAGGTGCCTCATTGGATTTCAGAGGACAACCCTTGGAAGTTTTCTTTCATCTTGGGGCTTTTGAACATATGGTTGGGCTCTTTGGCATACTTCTTTACCTACTAAGCCAGTTCATGGTCCCTGTAACTCACTTTTCAGGCTTTCCAATCCTGTGCCTTTTTCATATTAGTTCTCCTCAAGTACCCTGGCTTGCCTCATCATTAGCCTCTGAGGCCCAGCTTCAGGAAGTCCAACCTGATTTGCCTTGCTGACTTCGTGGGACCACTTGATCTGTTCAGCTTCTTAGATCTTGTGTGGTGTCTTTACACCTTTACCCTCAGGACTGAAGCATAGAGACAGAGGGTGACTGAATGAATGAATGAATGAATGAGTAGTATCTCAGGAATATGCTTATGGAAAGTATCTTAATTTAAAAAGATTGATGACAACGTCTCACTATGCTAAGATTGAATACACTTGGTAGACCAGGCCAGCCTCACACTCAAAGAAATCCATCTCCCTTGCCTTCCAAGTGCTGGAATTAAAGGTATCTACCACCATGCATGGGACATACTTCCTTTTTGTGTGTCTGTGTTGGTGCTGTGGCGTTCTGGGAATCAAATTCAGGTTAAAATTAACCTTGGCAATTGCACCTTTACTCACTAAGCCATCTTATCAGCTTCCTACTCCTTTTTTTAAAAAACAAGGGGCTAGAGCAGTATTTTTCTACCTTCCTAATGCTGTGACCCTTTAATGCAATTCCTCATGTTGTGATGTTGTGGTGTCCTCTCCCCCCCCCCCCCCCCAGCCATAGAGGTAGGCAGACCTCTGAGAGTTCAAGGCTAGCCTGGTCTACAGAGCTAGTTTCAGAAAAGCCAAGGCTGCCTTGAAAAACAAAACAAAATTTGTTGGTGCTTCATAACTGTAGTTTTGTTATGAATTGTAAACATCTGCTTTTTTTTTTTTTATGGTCTTAGGCCACCCCTGTGAAAAGGTCATTTATCCTTACCTCCCCACTCCCAAGGGATTTTGACCCACAGGTTGAAAACCACTGGGCTAGAGAGATGGATCAACAGGGTACTTACTGCCCTTGCAGAGGACCAGGGTTCAGTTCCCCAGAACCTGCATGGTGGCTTATACACCTGTCTGTAACTCCAAGGATCAAACATCCTCTTCTGACCCCTGTAGGCATCTGGCATTCATGTGATGTACATACATATATGCAGGTAAAACATTCATACACATAAATCTAAATTTTTTTTTCATAAACAACTTAGGCACTGTAGTAAACTTGGAACATTCTAGAAAACAAGAGGGAAAGAAAATTACTTCATCATTCAAGGATGCCTAGTATTAATGTGTATATATTTACTTTAAAAACATTTTTAATTTATATGTAATTGGGATCATAAATTCCAGAAGGGTTCTAACCTTTTTTCACTTGGCTACTGACATACTTTGCCTACCTTCCCGTGGCTAACATGCCAAGAGGAGCCAACCATGAGCATGTCGTGAGCATTCTTCCAGATGCTTCCTTTACATACATGTACCACACAGCTGTGCTCCTTTTAAGTATGCATTGAGAAATATGGATCTCTTTGCTTACCAGTAACTACAGATGTTATACCTCACTGTGTAGCACAAGCTGGTCTCCCTCCAGCCTTTATACCTCTTGCATCAGCTTTCCTGAATGCTGTGGTTACAGATAGGCACCACCACAGTATTCTTCCTTTAATGAGTTTGTAGGGATATTCCATACATTAACATATTGTCTGTTGATGAATCTTCAATTTGATTGTGTGCAGGTGGGAAGAGTAGCTTTAAATAGCACAGGAACTTCATACTTAGCAAACTCTTTTTACAAGCTGGGTGGTGGTGGTGTATACCTTTAATCCCAGCACTTGGGAGGCAGAGGCAGGCAGATTTCTGTGAGTTCGAGGCCAGCCTGGTCTACAGAGCAAATTCCAGGATAGCCAGAGCTGATACAGAGAAACCCTGTCTCCCCCAAAAATTTTAAAGAAAAAAGCAAAACCTCTTTTTACATTCATGTTGTGTGTATGCGTGTGGGCACACGTGTGTACTTGTGGAAGGGCCAAGGACAGCTTGTAGAAGTTGGTTTTTCTTCCACCATATGGAATCTCAGGTTGTCAGGCTGTGGCCAGTGCCTTTATCCACTGTCAATATTTTTTTTCTTTTTTTTCATGTTAGACTTTTGTTTGTTATTTCAACAAGAGACAGGTAGATGTAGATTTGTTAGGAGCTGGCCTGGATTGGGACTCCATTTCTCTAATGCCTGCTCTCTCTTCCAGATTGGCAAGGATTCTTGTCCGCCTGCCAGCTCTCAGGCTCATGAGCTCCAACATAACAGAGGAACTTTTTTTTACTGGTCTCATTGGCAATGTTTCAATAGACAGCATAATTCCCTACATCCTCAAGATGGAGACAGCAGAATATAATGGCCAGATCACCGGAGCCAGTCTATAGTGCACAAACGGCAGCTGCCAACAGTGGGATGCCTCCTAGGACTGCAGGTGCAAGAGAAGGGAAGTAGCAGTGTCTTGGTGTGTGCAGGTGTCTCCAGTGTGTTAGCCACTTCCTCCTGTTCATCCCAGACAATAGCAACTAAAGACATAGAACACTTCCCTGCCCTAGGAAATGTTTTAATGCCTTTTGGTGAAGCAGATTTTGGAACAATCTTTTAATTGAATTTGTATTTAGAAATTCTCAAAGGGCAAAAAACAATACTGAAGTTTTATAATGTCAGAGACTAGTATTAAACAGTATGTGTAAATACATTTAAAAAGAAAAAAAAAAAGTCCTTGGAATTAATAGCTACTAATTACCAGGGTAATGTTAGCACTTTCTAAGCACTTCTTATCGAATCTGCAATGTTAACATCTTTGCCTGTGGACAGGGCAAATGGAAAACCGTGTGTCCTTTTTGTCAAAATGCTAATGATTTCTGTGAAAACTCACTAGGGTACAGGAGACAATCGTTGACATTTTGAAGAGAGCTTCGCTCCTAGCTTTGTGCAGTGGTGGTGCTGAGCTAAATTCCTGTGAGTGAAATGTGGATCGCTGGCATTGTCCCATTAAGAGCTTCTGTGCCAGCCAGAGAGGCACATCTGTCGATTCTTCCAGAACCTGGACCTCACTAGTTTTCAAAATTAGATTGCAGCTTGCTGAGTTCCTATGATGAGAGTAATTCTCTGGTGACTGAAAAGTATGCCCAGGTCCCGCTACAAATCCATAGGAACTTGAGCCTTTGACCAAAAATTACAAGGCGGGTGGGTGATCTGCACCCTTTGACAACACTTCATGAGTATGACCTGTAGTAGTTCATGCCATCCAGGGGCAGTGAGGGTTTCTATTCCTGGCATGCCTGGGGAGGGGCCAGTATCTGTGATCACTTGGAGCCTACAGCTGAATGGGAGCTATGTATCCTTGCTGCCTGTTGAGGGGGGTGGGCCTTAGATAGCTGAACAAAAGCTATCAAGATAAATTCTTTCTGATATTATTAGTCTTTTTTTTTTTTTTTTTTTTGTATACTGGGACTCCCTGGTATGTGCTAGTCCAACAAAGCTCTCTAGGACGTTTGAAGTAATAGAAGCAAACCACCCTCCCTTTCAAAAGAGGATCGAAAAGCAATCCTCAGACAGGGCACATACTGCAGGCCTGTAACCTCAGCACTTGGGAGGCTGAGGCAGGAGGATTATAGATTCAGGGCCAACCTGAGCAACTTAATGAAACTCCTTTTGAGTTTTAAAGGGATCTGGGGAGTGGGGTGGGATGGTGATTTAGTGGTAGACTACTTGCCTAGCATGCACTAGGTCCTGGGTTTCATCCCCAGTACCCAAATCAGAAAGAAAAAACAAAATAGTTAATTGGCCATAGTTTCCAACAGAGTTCATAATTCAGCCAAGGAAGTTCTCTGCATTCCCATGGGTACAAGTCTGCAGCAGCTGGAAAAAAAGTGGAAGGTTAAGACAGGTATTTGGTGTTTGCTTTTTGATTAGAGAAATTAAGAAAATTACCTCCTATAAGGTTAAGTTTGTACCTGTTAAAGGACAGTTATGGGGCTTAAGGCTAGGTAGGCTGGTTCCTTTTGAGAGTTAATGACACTTTACTCACTGTTAGTGGGACTTAAGTGCAGATAGTATCTCTAGCTTCTAAATTCTCAGCTAGATTTTTAAGCCAGTGTTGGAAAATAGTAGGAATGGCCAGTAAAAAATGATGGAAAGGACTTAATTTTGCCAGCTTAAAAGTTTTCTTTTTGTGTGTGTATTCAAAATTAAGACAAAATGACTGGACATGAGTATAGTATAGTGGGCCTGTTTCATCTCTTTAGAGGGTTCCATAGTACATTTCTAGGCCACTCAGAGAGGGCCTGGGCATCCCCTATCAGGCTATTTAGACCATGGTTGGATAAGAAGTACCAACCTCTGAGAAGATAGAACTGGAGGGGGAAAAAGATTTTGCTTGGAAAAAAGCTGGTGACTCTAACCTGCCTGATCCTTTTTAAGTCCCATCATTGGTAATAGCCAATTTACAGAGCTGCTTTGGGCCAAACTCCTACACTGGTTGTCCAGATCTTCATGGCCTTACCTTTAACACTTGTATCCTCACAATGTTCTCGTTAACTGAAATCACTGCAAACTTTGAGTGCTTCTCCATTCCATCTTGTTAGATCTAGGAAGATCAGCCCCAGTTGTTTCTTAAGAGAGAACCCAATCCAATCCAGTCAGTGCCTGGGCTCCAGTTTTCAGGGGTTTCCATCCTATTGGGTCTGTGATACTCCAAATCTGATGAAGCAGGACAGGCATGTCTAAACACTCCTCTCAGGTAGGTGGACAGACACACACTGACATGGCTACTGGCTAACTGGGCTTTTCCAGAAGTATCTCAAATAATGTTAAGATAGTTCCAAGTTGAAATTTGAAATAAAACAGGCCAGGAGATGTAGACAAAGACCAAATTCCCTAAACAAGTTAATTCACAAGGTGTTCAATGTAGTGTGTCACCATCCTTGCAGTTTGCAGTGTGTGTTGAGGGGGCTCATTTACTATCTCGTCTCTTCCTGAGGCTGCAGTTGGGGTTGTATTGTCTGGGTTTCTGTACTGAAGTTCAAGTGGAGTCACTTATGCCCTTAGGATGGTTCTTTAGTTTGTCAGTGTCAGTATTAGATGTGGACAGTATTCTGGGGTAGACACTACATCAACCAGGGTGGCCAGTGTGGTCCCCAAGTAGAGCAGCAGCATCTGTAATACACACACTTGTTTCTTGAAGGGAAGCCCTGATGTCAGGGGAATTTGGAAGCCTGTTGCTGCTTTCCAGTGGCTGGTAAGCACTGGTAAGCAGTGGGGGCTGTTGGTGCTGCTGAAACTCTTCTCTAAGTCCAAGCCATGAAAAGCACCATCTGACTGCTGCTTTTCTCCAGGGGGAGGGGGAGGGGGAGGGTCCTGGGAACATACCACACTGGCAGAACAGGTGCCCCACCTTTTCGTTTGCCTAACTTCCAGTCTGTAGATTTTGTGGCTCTTTGCAAAAGTCTTAACTCTTATGTTAGTTTCTATATAAGTCAATTCCAAAATGAGATGGGGTTGGCCTAGGTGTTTTGTACAAGTTTCTGGACTTCCTCATTGAGTGCCTCCCATCAGTGTGTACTTTCTGTACACAACCTGTCCCTTCAGCCGCACTGTGCATGTCCAGATTTATAGGCCTAGATGACTGAATGAATGTACATGTGTTCATATTATCTTTGTACAGTGTATATAATGTGTGTACATAGGTGTACATTATGTATACAGACATGTAGCCACGTATCCAAACTTCTATGTTGTCAAGAGTTGATGCTAGCGTTGCTAATGTGAATGGATGTGGGTATTGCAAGGGTCCCTTGACAGGGATATACTGGTGAATTTCTTACCAACTTCATTTTCCTAGGACAGGGAGCTGTCTAGAAAGGGCCAAGTGCCACTCACTCCTGCATAAGGAAGCCTCAAGCCAGAAAGGTCCTGACAGGAGGGCAGTTCTCTAGGTTTAGAAGGGCCCAGAAGATGGTGGAAGAGATGTTAGCCTAATATCCAAAACTAAGTGGTAGCTATAAGCCTACTTTCCACAAACCAGTTTACCCTAACTGGAGGGAATTTAGTGGCTGAGACAAGCACTGCTGCAGTCTCTCTTGTTTACCCTGTGCTCTGTCAGTAAGACTTGGGTACTGTCTGGTGGTAAAAGTAACCAGCCTACCAAACAATGTTAGCTATTAACTGTGGCATATAAACCACAAATAGTCAATTGTCCCTTTAACTAGAAGCCAGTGCAGGGTTATCCTAAGTTAACTACATTCTATAAAAGTTTTAATTAACAGTAAGAAAGTGAAGGCTGACATATTTTCCTCATCTACCAGGTCTATTCTGATGAAATTTGTTCCCTATGATTGAGATTTTAGGCTGAGATGGAATTTGGGAGCCAGGGCCCAGCTTGACAGAGCTGCTAGTGGCCATGGTAAACAAGCACCTGTCTTGGAGGAAGCCAAGTACATAAATCTTGCCTGACCCACAGGTTGTTGCTCTTTGTGTTTTAAGAATAATTATTAAGACTGTAGTCCTCAGTGCCTTTGGTGAGACGTGGGTCATTTGGCTTCAGCTTCCCATTTGTGTCCCTGGCCTCACCGTTCATGGTTGTTCAATCTTGCCTGTGTCATTGCCTGTTGTGACAATCACACTATTCAAAGTGGCTTTCCAAGTAAAACACAGGGAAGCTTGGCAGTCTCTAAACGAATCCTTTCACTTTCTTTGGGGGCTATTGTCTTAGCAGCAACCTAAGAGTGAGTTTAAAAATGGCTTAAGAAGGAGAATATCAGACATTTCTAATGCTCAGCAATACGCACTTTCAGTTAATTTTCAAGAATTTTGGTATTTATACATGGGATGTAGGGAAAATGTTCAGCATTATATCAAGTTTTAGTGTTTGGGTAACATTTGGTATAGACTGCACATTAAAAATGGCCTTTCTTCGGGAAATTATCGTCATCAGTTGTCATCCCAACAGCCTGCTCATTCACGGATGCCAATGTACACACAACTCAAGTGCTGGAATATTTTTCTAGTTTGTTTTCCCAATTAACTTGTAAATCAGTGTTCAACTAGTTTTATAACTGAAGAGCTGCACATTTTTCATAGTATCAACTAGTTTGTACCTGTAGTTTGGATTTCTCTGTTAAGATACAGCGCATTATCTGCCCCCTACCCTACCCCTCTTCCTTTTTAAAGGACATCTAAAGGAAAGTCCAGTGTGGAATTTTCTTGGGATCGGTTGTATAACTTCTGCCCTTTACACCATGGATGCCATTACCTTTTGAATTCAGGTTTAAAACCTGTGGAGAGCTGCCATTTTGTACAGCTTTTCTCCCTGTGTAAATGAGCTATGTGATGGCATTTAAAACCTGCATGTTCTTTTTAAATTGAATTTTCTATCTAATCAATGTCTTCAGTCCTGAAGGAGAATCTGCATTGTTGTGTCTGTGTAGAGAGTTGCTGTGCATGGTTATGAGCGCCTTTTACTAAACGCTGTTCAATGTGGCTATGTTGTTGTGGCTTAATACTACCTACTTGAGGTTTATACTATTAAAGTAAATTAAAGACTAGCATGTGTACCGCTCATCATTTCTTCCTTAAAACAGTAATGTGGCCTGAGCCCATTCTCTGCCCTCCATCAGCACCTTAACCTTGGCCAAGGTAACTTCCATCAGTTTGAAAGACCTTTGGTGGGAAAACTCAGACTGAACTCTACCATGGCCATCAGAATGGAGGTAAGGATTACCTACACAGACATTTCCAGAGCAGTCAGACCCACATACTAGGTAACTGCTGTGGAGTAAAAACTGTGTCCTCAGATTCAGTAGTTTTACGTCTTCTGGTCTTTACAATGAGGGTTCAGAGACCCGAAGTAGATCCTGACAGAGCTCATGGCTGCCTATGACACTTCAATATGAAAACTGTCACTTCACAAAGGAACATCATGTCAACTCAAGTCCTTGTGTGGTCAGTTAGTTATGTGTGTAAAATCTATCATTCCTAAATTTAAAAAAAAAAAACACACACACACACAGATTTAAAGAAATGATTTCTCCCAGTGCCGTTGATTTTCTCATGCATGCATCTGCTGCTCACAGAAGTCCAAGCCATCAGTAACAGTGGTTCTGTAGAAGTTATCAGCTGCCCGTATGTTGTTCCTGTAGCCCTGTCACAACTTTGGCAGGTGCCAGGATTGGGACCTTATACATTAGAGCCACAAACACCCATTCCACTGCAGCCCCTTCAGGCCACCTGAGCACAGGTGCAAAACCAGAACCAGAGCAGAGAACAAAAGGCACAATTCTGTAAATCTAAGCATGCCAGTAGCTCTGCTCTGTTGTAACTAAAGGGTCTTGGGAATGCCCAAAAACAACTATTGCTTTTGCTATGCCCCATTAGCTCATATGGTCAGATGCCAATGGGTCTGTGGTAAATATTAAGGTGATCCTGGAAGGTTGCTGCCCACAAATGATGGAGGCAGCATAGCTAAAATGGTAATGACAATAGGGAAAGTACTAAGAAGTCATACACAGTCTCTTTCAGCCTAGTAAGCAAGGGCTGAAAATCAAGTCAAATGGGCTCCAAGTTATCACCCAAGTGGCATCTTAACTATCAAGCCCAGAAAAATCCCTTGCTACAGCCAACGGGGTGCCACTGCCCTCTCCACCCACAGGCATGGACTTCCCAGGAAGCAAAGATTCCTGGGCTTTAGAACACTGTCCACCTGCTTTCTTTGGACTGTTAAGTACAAAAGAATCTACATGGAAGAACAGTTATTCTACCAGCTACAGGCTCACCAGATAAAGTAGCCCTCAACAGCACCCAGAGTAGGACTGGAAGAAGATTAAATACAAGAACCAGGGGACATGTTACTCACAGACTGCCTTGCACCCTCAGCCCAAAGCTTTTTGCCACAGATGGTCTTTGTACCAGCAGGACGAGACTTACCATGTACAGGAAGACAATCTTTTATTGACATCTGTTCAGCAGCTGGCAACTCTGGCCTTCTTCCCATTGCAGAGTTCCATCAGTCCATCACAAATGACCTTGCCCAGACCTAAGAGCTGGCTTTCAGAGTAGCTTTGTACTTCCCTGTCATCTCCTTGGGTAAGGGCACCAGGCCAGGGCAGGGCACCTGACCTTCCACTTCACACATGCACTCCCTCAAGCAGTACTTCCGGGGGCCAAAGTTGGCTGGATGAGATCGCTGCTGTTTCTCCAGCTCCTCCTCCCTGAGGGTCTCCCTGCCAAGGAACATACACAGTAGCAAAGCATGACCAGTGGCTCCAGAAAACAGGCAGCCTCTTCCATGTGAGGGAAAGGCACTGGGAAGCATCCAACTGGAGCATCCCACAGGGACCAGGCAAAGGAGCCTGGGTCTCCAGAGACTTTCTTGCTTTCACTTCCTTCCTGTCCTTCCTCATTCAAGGAGTAAAAAGGAAATCTGGGAACAGGCTCTAAGCTTCCCTTTAGCTGCATGCATGTCAAAGTAGGGACCACCCTTGTTACAGTAAGGGAGTAGACAAATGATTTGGTGAATTGTTTACATCTGCTGATCAGAAAGACCAGGTCTAAATTGATCCTGCCACCCAAGGTCTTGTTACTAACTGGAGCTAAAGAACTTTCCCTCTCCACCCCATCTCTGCACATTCCCTTCACCCTCACATTTTTGGGGATAAGCTTGCTCCTGTCAGGGTGGTCCTTGGACTTCCCACAGGGCAGAGACCCCTGATTGCTCTTTGGGCTGACGAGGGAGGGGGACTTGATTGGGGAAGGGGAGGGAAAGGGGAGGTGGCGGTGGGGAAGAGACAGAAATCTTTAATAAATAAATAAATTAAAAAAAAAAAAAGCTTGCTCCTGTCAGGTCAACCCAGTAACTCACTCTTTCTTGCCCAAAATTTTCTTTATGTGCTCCATGATCTCTTTATTACTCTTGGTCTCCACGTCTACCAGCACCTGCTCCCCAGAATCTGTAAACAAGAGGCACAAAGGGAGGAGAGCTGATTCAGGCATACTTTTCAGTCTCAACAGGTTGGGGCTGCCAGGTGTAATACACCTGTAGCCTCATTGAAGTAGGATGATTAACATATCAAGACCAGCTTAGACTTCAATTCTCTTTTAGTAGTAGAATTCAGTATTTTTTAAATTATGTATATATGTGCATTCGTGCACGAAAGTACAGGTACTTGAGGAGTCAAGAAGAGAGTTACCAGACCCCCAGGAGCTGGAGTTACAGGCAACTGTGAGGCATCTGACTCAAGTCCTCTAGAAGAGGACCTTTAATTGCTAAGCCATCACTCAAATAATTTCTGCATAACTGATGATGACCCTTCCACTTTCCATTTTTAAGAAACACGAGCAGACAAATTCCTCTATAGATCACTGTAGTCTCATCCCTATAACAATGCAATTTTTGTTTGTTTCTAGACAGGGTTTCTCTGTGTAGCCCTGGCTGTTCTAAAACTCTCTATGGAGACTACGCTTAGCCTCTAACTCAGAAATCTGCCTATCTCTACAATACAGTTTTTATGGAAGCTTAACAAAATGAGTCTACAATTCATATGGAAATGAAAAACTACAATTTTGAAATGAAAGAAAATAGGAAAGCTAGAGGTACAGCTCAAGGCCAGCCTTCCAAGACCCTAAGAGCTAAAAATAAGATAAGAGGGTGTCTGCTTCCTGAGTGTTCTATAGCTAAAGGTTACTGTAACCAAAACAGAGACATGCCCAACAATAGGCATACCACCAAATGGGACAAAACCAAACCCAACACCAAATAAACCCTTCTACTGGCAACTGTTTCCAGCAAAGATGGCAAGAAAATTCCAACTTGAGTTTTTTTCATCCAACACTAGAACTGGGTACTCACATACAGATGAAAGAAAAAAAATGGACCAGAAATGTAAGGCTGTGTGTGTGCCCACATGTGGAGGACAGGATAAACCTGTGTAGTCTGTTTTCAAGTGCTAAGTCATTTAGCTGGCCCGTGCTAAAACATTTTACAAAATTTATAAAAGAATGTAGTTCACCAGACCATGTTTGCCCTGCATATAAAGGCACTGGGTACAGCCCCCAGCATAGCAAACAAACAAAAACACCACAGGAGAAAACCTTCATGACCTTTAACCAAGGAGCAATTTTTTTTTTCAGGCATAATATCTAAAGTGTGATCCATAAAGTCCATCAGTAACTTGAATTTGAAATTCCTTACTTTGTGTTATAGAAGGCACTGTAAGACAGGGACTGGGAAAAAGCACAAATATCTGAATTCACAACTAAGGAAGATAACCTGACTGAATTATGTATTTTGCCCATTTTTTAAATTAATAAAAACAAAATAGCTAATGACAAGCACATGAAAAAGCAGTCAACATTAGTCATTAAAAAAATACAATATTACAAAAGAGCGGACACTAGTGAAGAGGCTCGACAGCAGATGGAGACACTATTTGTGGAGATGCACAACACTAGTACTGCCTAGAAAAATGAACTGAGACAAGAAAACTGCCAAGATTAGTGAAGCGGTGCCATGCTTTGTTTGCATATGAATGTTACTATAAGTAAAATATCCTAAGCAATCTCTAAAATTACCAGAAATAATGTCAAGGGGATAAGGTGCAAATACAAAAACTAACTACCACCAAACCACAAGAAAATGAAAATTTCAAAATACTAAAGGCAAAACCATAGCTAGCCTTCTTTTAGAAATTGGCAAACATCTTCAAGTTTATATAATCCCAGCACTCAGCAGGCCAAGGCAGGAGCACCACAAATTTAAGGCTAGCCCTTGGACATTTAAAAAAAAAAAAAAAAAAAAAAAAGGAAAACAAAGTAACTTGGGGAGGGGAGACAGATAAAATTAGTACCCAATTCGGTGAAAGAATTCAGAAATTGGCCAGGTGCTGGTGGCGCACGCCTTTAATCCCAGCACTTGGGAGGCAGAGGCAGGCGGATCTCTGTGAGTTGGAGACCAGCCTGGTCTACAAGAGCTAGTTCCAGGACAGGCTCCAAAACCACAGAGAAACCCAGTCTCGAAAAAAGCAAAAAAAAAAAAAAAAAAAAAGCAGAAATTAAGTAATAAAGTTGCTTCTGTGTATGGTAAAATATACAATTAGGGTCTGGCAAGATGGCTCAATGGTTAAGGGCACCTCCCTTCCCAACACCCATATAATGGCTAACAACCATCTGTAACTTCAGTTGCAGATGATCTAATGCTGTCTTCTTACCTCCCAGGTACCATGCATACATGAAGATATAAATCCATACAGATATAAATCTTTAAAAAAGAAGTATACATTGGACTATTTCAAACCAAAGCACATAACTCAGTGATTTTAATAATACAAATACAAAGTACACCCTGTATCTACTTACCACAGTCACTATCCCCATTCCTGGCTAGCACTTCAATGTTCTGAAAGTTACCTCTTTTGGAAATTTCCAGTCTACCAGGTTGAAGCAGGTATCAGCACTTAGTCTTTTGCCACAGCACATAGATCATACTGTTGTTCCCCATCATGGTGACTGATTTTAAACAAAGATACTAAGGAAATCCAGTGAGAAAAAGTAC